GTGTCACTTAGATAAGAATATATGCATAAAATTTTGGCAAAAAATTAACTTAGAATAATCTTTTTTCCAAATGTTCTCCTTTTGTGAAAAATGCTTCTATTAGAATAGTATTTTGCCTGTCTATAGCTCAGACCTCTGTTCAGAGGCTCAACTAGAATTTTTGAAATATATAACTTAGAAGTGGGTTTATTCATATTTTACGACAACAGAGGGATTAATTTTAAGAAAAAAAACGCAAATAATTATTTCAATTGGTGGTAACTCTGAAAATAATGTGAATTTTTCAAAAATTCTAGTTGAGCCTCTGTAGAGAGGTCTAAGCTATATACAGGCAAAATATTATTATAATAGAACCATTTTTCGCAAAAGGAGAACATTTGGTAAAAAGATTATTCTAAGTTAATTTTTTGCCAAAATATTATATTTAAATAAATTTTTTTTTGTAAAAATCTCCTTAAAACAATTTTATGCATGTATTCTAATCTGAGTGACACTAAATATCATGAAAATTATCCATTTATGTGCTTTTTTAAAATCAGGGTTCCGAACGTAGTCGGATACCTTAAGTGAAAAATTGCAAGCCAAATGTTCCTGAATTTTATATAGTAATATGGTATTACTAAATATATATATATGCTCTATAACCACACGCGAATTTACATTAACTTCGTGATGTTTATTAAATATTGATCTTAGGCATTGAATGAAGTCATCCTTAATCATCGTACCAGTGCAACAATTTTCTCATAAATGTATTAAATTATTACACAACTTTATATATTCTATAGCAGAAGTGAGCAACCCGCGGCATTGAATTGAATGATTCAAGTTATTCATTTTTATTTCATACCAAACCCAATTGATTGAACTTGTAAAAAGTTTATTAACAATAAAACATAAGCTTGTACTTTCGCCTTATTTATTATATCATTTTTAAATTTCGACTACATAGACTTGTATTAAAAAAAGGTGCTATTTGCGTAAAAATCCTGCAATAAGCTTATAAGTAACATTTTTTCTACTTTCCCATATTTGTTTGTTGGAAAAGCTGGAAGTGCTAAGCATAATAATTTTTTTTTATCAAATAGGTTGAATAGAGGTTGAGTGGATGTCGGAGTACCTGCTTCCCGCAGGGAAGCTCAAACTCCTGTCATGGGAATAATTATGAACTAGTGGAACTCTTCCCCAAAAGGTTGGCCACCCCTGTTCCATAGATATCCTACTTCAGACATGCCATTAACATAGTTGGCGCCTGAAAACTAAATTTGGCGATTTTAGTGAATGTGTATGAAAAGTTTCAGTTCGTAATTTTATGCATTTTCCAAACCTTTCTTTTCAAACAGAATTCTGTCTTCTGAATGGCTGGAATAGAACACACCATCCTTGGTATCCAATCTCCGAGAGACACGTCCAAGAGACGATTTTGAACTCTTGAGCTCCCGTTTTGACCCTTCGTTGACCTATTCTATGAATTACACTGGGCTTCAGGGGGTGTTATCGGTCAATGCTTGCTTGATATCCCATACTTTGTTGATAGTACGTTGCCCTGAGTATCCGCTCTCAACGTGGGGAGGTTAGTGAGGTAAAATTTGAGATTAGTTCTTTCACACCATTGTAAGCATTTATCCGCATAACAATTCAATATGTGACACTGACAAAGCGGGGAGTTTTATTGTTAAACTGTTAGATGAAGGGCGGTCAATCTTTTTGGAAAGAGTGCCATTATTTGTTAGAAAAATAATTATGCGTGCCCCTTCCAACTTTTCCAAGAAACATGGAAAAGTGGCAAAAATGTTGCTTATAAGCTTATTATGGGATTTTTAGGCAAATAGTACATTTTTTAATGTACGTTTATGTAGTCGAAATTTAAAAATATTATAATAAATAAGACGAAAGTGTACAAACTTAAGTTTTATTGTTAATGATCTTATTACAAGTTCAATCAATTAGGTAAGGTATAAATTAAAAGTGAGTAACCTGAATTATTTAAATCAAAATAATTATTAAATTCTCAGTTCTTACCTACTGGGGCTATTGAATTAGTACTTCTTTTTACATAGTCATCTATATTATGATTAGCTCTTACAGATGCTAATAAAATTAGGTTATTATAGTTGCGCGTTAGCTAGTTTTTAAGTGATATTAATTTTATTATGTTCATAGCAGAATCATATTTTGAATTACATCTTAAGAAGAATCATATATTATTTTTTCCATTATTCACAAACCTACTTTGATCCAAATTTTGAGGTGTTTTGTCTGAGACAACCCCACTTCAATCAAATTGTAAAAAAAAATGTTTATTTATTATCTTTCCAAATTTTTTAAAAAATGTTCAGTTAATCTTCGCGTGTTACTGTTACAACTCCAATGTGCCACATTATTACATGAGTGTCGCGGGTTGGCCACCTCTGTGTTTGATATTCCACCCTCCCATCATTTTCATGAAAATTGTAGAAATCGTAGGGAAAAGGGACTGAAGGTTTTTTCCGGGTGGCTATATTTGGTAATTAAAAAGTATTTAAAACCAAAATGTTCCTTGATAAGTTATAAATATTTCTCTTTCAGATGAAAATATTTAAAATTCCTTGTGAACTACTTCCACTCCACATTTTTCATTCTCAAATATAGTACACAGAAATATCATTATGTGGATTAGCTGTTTTTAATGAAATTTTATAAGCAACGTTAAATGCATTAAAGTTAAAACAATATAATTCAATCAAATATTTTTAAACATAATGTAAAGTTTGTATATTTTTGGAATTAAAATTGATTTGTTAAAATAATCAAACTCAACTACATAATAAAACATAAATTACTACGAATTGTAATTAAAATAATTACGTTACATAATTCAAGACCCATGTATGGATTGTAAGCTCTTCTTACAAAAAAGGAATTCTTAAAGTGACTGATGTATATATTGATGTTTAGTGTCAGTTGAATTGGAATATACAAGCAAAAATTTGTTTTAAGAATAGTATTGCAAGAAACTATTCGGCAAAAAATGAAGAAAGAATGACACTTTCAAAACATTCTCCTTTTATGAAAAAATGCTTCTACAATAATATTTTACCTATAAGCTAGGACTTCTATATCGGAGTTGACTAAGATTTTTCAGATGTATTATTTAGATTCAGATGATTTATTCATATTTTAACGCATTCAGAATGGAGAAATTTTAACAACAACAACAAAAAAAAAACCCACCAATAATTATTTTAATTGAAAATAATGTGAATTTTTCAAAAATCAGGCTCTCTGGAAAATCTTAAATACATATAAACAAAATATTATTATTATAGTAGCATTTTTCGTGAAAGGAGAATGTTTTACAAATATGTCATTCTTCATTTTTTGCCAAAAAAATTACATTCAAATAATTTTTTTCTTGTAATAATATAAAACATTTTTATCTGTATGTTCTAAATCAACTGACTCTAAATATCAAAAAAATTATTCATTTTTGTATGCTTTTTTCAAAATCACGGTTCTGAACATAGTCACCTTACAGCTAAAGAAATTAATTCTAATTTTTATTAAAATCTGGGTAAAATTCTTTTTTGCAACGAAGAAACATTGGAATAAAAAATTCAATTTTTATATATTTTTACTCTCCATATTCGTAATCGACATTTTACATTGACTTATGATAAATAAGGCAAATGCTGCACTTTTCCAAACCAACTCGCACGGAATAAAAGGTTAATATATCATACCTATTTTTCATATTTTTTCTCTATTTATGATTGTGTATTACCTATTTTCTTTTACGTTTGATTTGCATTATAGAACGAAAAAGTAATCTAGTTGATTTACAATAATGGATTTGTAATCGATAGCCAGTGGTTTTTTATCTTGGGCAAGTAATATCCATCATAGCATTGAATTAAAGGACTTTTTGGATGACAAGAAACTGGCTATCGAACACATTTGGCAACCAAAGGAACCCATGGTTATTCGTTCTAAACGCCCATGCGCATTGAATATTGTTTATGCGATTTGCGTTTTTCTTTATAAAAACAGTTTGTTTATATTTCATAATAATGTGAATATATATTCATGGAAAACGTAATGATTTTCAACACGAAGAGTATCATCATGAGTTTTTATTATTCAGGCGGAATTTTTTGTACAGTAGCAAAAGCCCAATAAAAAGTCAGTGCCCGTTCACTTATTTCTTCATTTTGGTCATATGAATTAAGTAGAAATTTTTCCTTTATTGCTTCATATAAACAAAGTACGTCGTTGCGTGGAAAGGTAAAAACAAACACTAATAAATTATCACAAAATAAATAAAAAGCTGTTTACACTTAATGTTGACAAATAAGTCCCAAATTCGAAACATTTTTTTTCCCAAGATGTAATATATCGCAAAGTATTTTCTAATTGAGTCATTGTTTTTTCGATTCCTACTATTAGTTTACTTTCTCCCTGTATTATATATATATATCAGTGGCGCACACAAGGGGGTCCGGACCCCCCCAAAGCCCTTGATTTTTTTCCCGATTGATTATAATTCTAAGTATATAGTACGTAAAATTAAATTAATTACTTTTTATTAATGATTAATTTTATTAATTAATATTAATTATTTATTAAAAAATTAGTTTTTTACTGTGTTTTGTTCCCGAAAATCGACAAAATCAAAAGGAGCATGATACAAGAATGGTGACCTTTTGACCCTGGACCCCCCTTGAAAAATTCCTGTGTGCGCTACTGATATATATATATATATATATATATATATATATATATATATATATATATATATACATACATACATATATCTTGTTCAAATTTTCAATCGTTAATAAAATATTTTCTATTCATTTATTCAAGTTCAAATACATTTTTTAAAACTTGAATTGATCGACACTTGATGTTAATATAGTTCTTCAAATATTAATTCATTAATTAAATTAAAAGATGAATAAATAGTAATAAACAAAAATAATAGTCCAATACTATAAATAGAGAGGAAAACCTTTTGTTGTGTCCCAATAGCCCAGTGGGTAGTGCTTTAGACTTGTATTCCAAAGGTCGTGGGTTCGAATCCCACCTGGGATGACCTAATTTCTGAGAATGTGGTTTCTATTTTACTAAACTATTTTATTGGAATAATTAAATTTAATGAATGAATAAATAGTAAGAAAAAAAATAGTCCAATACCCCCTATATAGAAAGGAAAATGGAAAATTGTAAGGAAAATAGCTTTCTATTTTGTCACTTAATATTGTGATTCTGTCATATGGATATATATATTTATAGTAATTGTAACTATTTAATAAAAAAAATTTTTCTTTATTGACCTAAGTAGGAATTGACTTAAATTTTTTTTTTTTTGTTTATATTACTTGTTTCTGAATAAATTATACTTCATATTTTTGTTACAATAAATATATTTTTTTTTCGGAACCGGGATTTCGCGAAAGCGTATAATTGGATAATATTTATGATATTTAGTGTCACTTATATTAGAAAATGTATATAAAATTGTTTTAAGAATAGCATTTCAATCAAATATTATTTAAGTACAATATTTTGACAAAAAATGAACATAGAATGACCCATTTTCAAAATATTCTCCTTTTGTGAAAAATGCTTCGGTTATAATAATATTTTGTCTGTATATAGCTCAGACCTCTAGGCTAAACTAGAATTTTTTTATATATATAACTTAGAAGTGGTTTTATTCATGTTTTACGACAACAGAGGGGAGGAATTTTAAGAAAAAAACGCCGATAATTATTTCAATGGGTTGTAACTCTGAAAATAATGTGAATTTTTCAAAATCATAGTTGAGTTTCTGTACAGAGGTCTAAGCTATATACAAGCAAAATATTATTACAATAGAAGCATTTTGCACAAAAGGAGAACATTTTGAAAAAAAGGTTATTCTAAATTCATTTTTTGCCGAAATATTGTATTTAAATAATTTTTTTTGTCAAAATGTCTTTAAAACAACTTTATACATGTATTCTAATCTAAGTGACACTAAATATCATGAAAATTATCCAGTTATGCGCCTTTTTAAAATCACGGTTCCGATCGTAGTCGCATACCTTAAGTATTCAAGAGGCCTCTAGATTTATTGAATTCTTTTAAATTTTAAGAAAGTTGTATCTTTTACCCACTTATATTCACTTATTTTCTAAAGTTCTCTTCAGTGTTTTCCCTCCCTCCTCCCATTTAAATATAAAAAAATCGTCGACTCTCTGCAAACTCAATATTGGACATTATCTTTTCTTTTTCTCTCAACTTCAGATTTTATGGAAAACGAATTAACTAAAGAATTTACAGTGGTACAAACAATTGAGGATACACCTTATTTTTACTTGATAAATCCAACTTTCAATCGAAATAACACATTAACTAGAAGTGCAAACGTGTTTTTATTTTCACACGTAACAAAAGGGTTAATTTACAGTAAAAATAACGAAAATCAACAATAAAATATCTAAAATTAAAAATTTCACAAGTATTTGAAATAAACATAGGCAGATCTTTAGCTCAAAAAATTTAGGATACACCAATGAAATTTGTGTGATATACCACATACAAAGGCAGTGTCAATATCTGGTTGCATGTCCTTTGGCCTCCAAACGTCTTGGTACCGATTCGACCAATTTTTTGGTGGTATCTGGAGATATTTTATCCCATTATTCTTGTAACACTTGCTTTAAATGGGCTTTGTTCCTAATTTAGTGTTTTTGGACCGCTATTTCGAGCGTGACCCACAAATTTTCTATGACATTGATGTCAGGGGACTGTGAGGGTGTGTGCAATTGCTGTTTACAATGAAAAAGACACCACATTTTTTGACATTACGTGCCGTATGTTTGGGGTTGTTGTCTTGCTGGAAAATAAAATTTCCATCTAAACCCAAGTTTTTTGCACTTTCTTTAAGATTGTTGTTGAGTATATGTATATAAAGCTTATGATCCATTATGCCATCTATAAAAACTAAATTTCCTACCCCATTTGAAGCCATACAACCCTAAGCCCTGACGGAGCCACCACCATGTTTAACTGTAGGAGGTAAATTTTGTGGATCCAAAGCGGTGTTCGGTTTTCTCCAAACAGTGCGACGGCCATCACTTCCAAAAATGTTGAATTTACTTTCGTCACTAAATATAACTTTCTTCCAAAAGTTATGTCTTCAATTGATGAGTTTTTGCAAACTCCAAATGCTTTTTCTGATTTTGTAAGCTTATGAAAGGTTTCTTTCTAGCTACTCGACTGCTATATCCAACATGTCTAATCACATTTCTCAGTTTCAGCACTTACACTTCTGCCCATTATTCGAGAAGTTTCTGCAGCTAGTTTGACTGCACTTAGTTTAGGATCAATCTTGATGTCTTTCAATACTTTCCTTTTGGCTACATCACTCAGAATACTTTCCCTTCCTCTTCCACTTTTATTTTCAATTAATCCATCGCTTTTAAATCTTCCAATGATTTTCTGGACACACGAGTGGCTTCTACTGACAATTTTAGCTATTTCACGATAAGATTTTCCTTTCTTAAATAACCTTAATATAAATTTTCTTACATCAATACTGGTCTCTCTCCGAGGACCCATTTTCCACTTAAAATTGCGACTTTAAATTCACGTAACCAACTTCAAAAGACAAAAGTAGCAGTCGAAAAAGTTTAAGATAAAATTGGCTAAACTTAGGCTATTGTAGTAGCAAGCAGAAAAAAGTCTAGTGGTAGTTAAACAAACATTTCATTGGTGTATCCTCAATTTTTTGAGGTAAAGATCTGCTTATGTTTATTTCAAATACTTGTGAAATTTTTAATTTTAGATATGTTTTTGTTGATTTTCTTTATTTTTACTGTAAATTAACCCTTTTGTTACGTGTGAAAATAAAAACACGTTTGCACTTCTAGTTAATGTGTTATTTCGATTGAAAGTTGGATTTATCAAGTAAAAATAAGGTGTATCCTCAATTGTTTGTACCACTGTATGTTATGGAACAAAAAGACTGAGTGATTCATATAGATCTCGGTCAAGCGAAGTGATGCAAGATATTTATGTTAGTCTTTTTTTTCTCTCTAAGCAAATATTCAGTGCTAGTATCTTGCTCTTTAATCTTAAGCAAAGATAATCTTAAGGTATCTGACTATTTGCGACAACTTTTTTTTTGAAAAAATGGAGATATGGGGATTTTTTTGTGATATTTAAATGTATTTAGTATATTTTAAGAAAAAAATTCTAAAATTGAAAACAATTTTTTTTTATTACTATTAAAATGTGAAAAAACGGGTAAAAATGTACAAAAAATTACACAAACGGGGCCCCCTCTATACAAAAATTTTATGAACAAATTCTCAATTTTTCAACTTTGATGTGTTACTTTGTTATTCATGTTTGAAATGACCTTCAGGATAAGAGATATTTTAATTTTTACAAAGACTAGAGCACATTATCTTAGTGACTACATAAAATTGCTTAAAAAAACAGTGATTATATTCACATAAATTTTGAAATAAAACAGTGATTGATAAATCTGAAGATTAAAAAACTTTTACTGTTATACACAGAATATACATTAAAAATTTAAGCAAATTATTTTAAAAACTTCTTGAGCAATCGCTGTCCCCGTTTGAGTTTTTCGAAAAAAAAAACCACATTTCGAGTAAAACGCATTTTAAAGTTTGACATCTTGTGTAAAGTTATGGCATCTGTTTTTACTAAAACATTTGTAGTTTTTGTCCTAGTGATTGGAAAATAAAAAAACTTAGTATTTTTATAAAGCTAATAGAATGGCCTATAAAATAAAATAATAAAAAAATTTGTCAATTTTTGAAAAAAAATCATGATTTTAGGGTAGTCCGATATCTTAACAAATAAGGATTTTACTCGTTTCAAAATTTTTCAGTTTTGTAAAATCTGTTTGTCGGTTATTGCTGACTTTTTTTTTTATATACAAGGTGTCCCGCAATTTAGTGATAATCGGGCTCGAGGTGAAAGGTGGGATCATATCTGTTCTGTAAAAAATATTTAAAAAAATTACCAAAAACAAAATGGCAGTGATTGTTATGGTTAGAAATGTATCAAGCGTTGTACAGAGTGTTTTTTTTCAGGTATAGAAGTTAAAGTTGGCATTACTTTCCAAGATGGCGACCGATTTAACAGCTGTCAAGTGATTTATTCTCAGTTTGGTTTGGCAATTCATCATGAATAGACTCACGCCTGAACAACGCTTTCAAATTGTGCAATTTTATTTCGAAAATAATGGTCGATTTTCATAAGCGAATTTTGTTTAGCGATGAAGCGCACTTCTGGTTGAATGGCTACGTCAACAAACTGCCGCATTTGGAGTGAAGCTAATCCACAAGTGTATGTCGAAACACCGTTACATCAAGAAAAACTGACTGTTTGGTGCGCTTTATGGGCTGGTGGAATCCTTCTTCGAAAACGATGAAGGCCACAACGTTACAGTCAATGGTGATCGGTATAGAGCCATGATTACTAACTTTTCATTCCTGAATTGAACAATCATGATGTCCAGGAGCTGTGGTTCCAACAAGACGGCGCAACATGTCACACAGCTCGTGCCACAATCGATTTATTGAAAGACATGTTTGGTGACCGCCTAATTTCACGTTTTGGACCTGTGAATTGGCCTCCAAGATCTTGTGATTTAACACCGCTAGACTATTTTCTGTGGGGCTATGTAAAGTCATTGGTCTATGCGGATAAGCCACAAACGCTTGACCATTTGGAAGACAACATTCGCCGTGTTATTGCCGATATACGGCAACAAATGTTGGAAAAAGTCATCGAAAATTGGACGTCCAGATTGGACTACATCCGAGCCAGCCGTGGCAGCCTATGCCAGAAATCATATTTAAAATGTAATGCCACAAGATTATCTTTCGAATAAAAAAAATTCATGTCAATCGAATAATACATCGTTGTTTTATTGCAATTTAAAGTTTTATACCTCTAAAAAAAACACCCTTTACCATTTTGGAACTGTCACTAAAAGAGTCATCTTTTGAAATAACTTGCTTAGAGTAATATGTAATATTTTTCTTTTTATGAAGAGTCAAAGTTGG